TGATGAAAATATCAAGAGAGGCCTAAAAAAGCAAATATTCTTGGGGAAGTGATGAGAATAGATGGAGTTGGTGCACAGTGTACAGACTGGGAGCCAGAGTGACAATTGAGCTCTGCAGAGAATGGAAAGCAGAGGTGAAATTAGGGGGCTGGTAATTGGAAGGAGGCTTTCCTCACAGCGGGTCCCTTAGATCATGGCTGCTTTAACTGCCTGAGAGAGACAGATACATTTAGGCCTGGATTTTTCTTTGGCCTGACCTGTGCTCATATTTGGTGCTTTGCTGTAGGTGGGAGCTGTGGTTAGTATTGGTCAAAGCCTCAAGCAAGCGCGAACGCTGCATCATGAGGCTCTGGGGTCTTTGGCCAAAATTATGGTCTGGGGACTGAGCTGGATACTTGTAGTGTCCTGGAATATCCAGACATGACCATGGGGTATAGAGGGAGTGTCACTTAGTCCAGGACATCCTGCTGTGCTGTCAGTGCCAGCTCAGAGCCCTCTGGCTGATGCTGGCTGCCTGCTGGAAAGCCTGCCTGGTTTTCCTGGGGCTCTGCACAGGAAAGCAATGGCTTTCCATGCAGGAGTCTGTCTAAAAGGTCTGCTGTGGCAGAGTGGTTCAGTGTGCCAGGAGGGATCGTGGGATGAGGACTCCTGCTGTGCTGGGAGATGGCACCTCTGGGATCCTGTTGGACCTGCTTGCCTGATTCTCTGTCCGAATTATGGATGTGTCAAAAGTGCCACCAGGAACCCACCACCATCCAAACCAAGTCCTGCGTGTGTCTCCCAGGACAGGTGCAGAGGCTCCACAATGGCTTCTTGCTGACAGCCACAGGTGGATCTACAGCCTAATTTAATGTAAAGATGAGTACAAATAAGGCAGTGTCACACTCTCCCATTAATCTGTGATACTTCACTGATACCTTGACCAGTGAGAATGAGCAGGCAGGTGGCTGGATCCTTGGAATTACCTGAGCTGAGCAAAATAGTCAGCTGCAAAGTTTAAAGGCAGAGCTAGAGCCCTTTTTAGTTTTGTATAATTCTGAATGCATAATACATGGATTAACCACAAACTATGGCCAGCTGTTTCCTTGAAAGTCTGTCCCAGACCTCCACCTGAGTTCACTGCTTCCTGTAACAGTGGCCAGCACTTGGTAGTTTCTCTTGCTTTGGCATGAGATCCTGCTATGCTACCACAGGACTAATTTGAAATTGCCTTGAGGGTTTGCAGAACGGTGGTGTCAGGAGCACAGCCCTTTCTGGAGGGGACCCCAGCAGGCTTCAGAAGGCTCCTCCTTGGCTCCGAGGGCAGCTCCTGCAAACCAGGAGCAGGGTGTGAGGAGGTTCCACGGCACAGCTGGCTATAGCTCACCCAGAGGGCTGACACAGCGCGCTGCCTGCTGTGGGCCAGGGGCTTGTGAGGGATCACAGCGAGCAGCATCTTTTCAGGCAGCACAGACCAGTGCTGGAAAGCCAGATCCCTGCATCTGCTAGGGTGGTGTAAGGGCTTCCCTAATCACTTCTGTGCTGTCCACATCAAAGAGGGGCTGCATGAAGACTGACCCAGATTCTCTGCTCCTGGATGCCTTTTGATGGTGGTGGATTCACTGCTGGCACATCTCTGTTGACCTCCATAGACTCTTATGGCTATTCACTTGCAGGGATTGTCTTTAATCTCTTGACACCCTAGTCCAAGCATTTCTGCCTCTCCACATCAGCAAATTAGGTTATTAGCTCTTAATACCACAAAATCTAGACCTTCTGTGCCAGAGGGTAACAGAAACAAGATTAGGGAGATTGCTTCCAAAGCCTAGCATTTCCCAGCAGTGTTAGTAGCTGATCAGCACTTGAGAATGTCAAGCAAAGAGCCAGCCATGAGATGAGAAAAACCCTCAAAACAATTCAGGGTGAAGAAGATCCCTGAAGAACGTGGATATGATTGCATGCTGCTCCTGGAAGTTTAGCAGCCAGAATACTCAGGAGTGCACGTGCCTGTGGGCTCCTGCAGCAGGAGCACAGACATCCTTGCTGAGGGAGCAGCAGCCCTGTTCTGCAGCATGTGCTTTTGCCTTGGGCCCGTTGCTGCTGTGGGCAGAGCAGGCTGGAAAACAGCCAGCTGGGGGGCCTCTGCTGGTGGATATCTCCTGGATGGGAGAAGAGCTTCCATGCTCCTAAGAGCAGAGAAACAGTTTGGATGAGTAGAAGAGAGAAGGGTCAGTTTTACAGAGGATAAAAGGTGGAGTCCTAGGATGAAGCATGGGGCATATTGCCACTGAGGTCCTGGCTGCCCTGAGCCAACTTCAGTGCTACAGGAAGCAGACACCAGTGTCTGATTTTAGGGGAGATTTTCCCTCTGGTGGCTGATCTCTACATGTGTGCTAAGTGGGGGAGGTAGTGTGTGCTGCATAGGGCCATGGCTTCAGGAGTTACAAACCTCAGAAATCAAGCTGGAACTGAGAAAATCTTGATTTTTGTGCTCTCCACCCCATCAAGAAAATCTTGATTTTTGTGCTCTCCAGCCCATCAAAAAGGGAAGTAAGCATTCTGAGTAGTAAATTTTATCTGTAGGATTTTGCAGGGTGAAGGTTGACCTGTGAGGAACCAGGTAGCTATTATGAGTAAGTTTACCCTTAGGACTGATGCTGTAGCATGCAGGGGAGCAGGCTCAATGTGTCTTGTGTTGAGCCATCAAGGGATGCTCTTGTACAAGCCTTGACTTCAGAGCTCTTTTTTTCAGCTCAGGTGAACTGGGTTCAGTCCCCACTAAGTGGTCAAGGGACAGCTAAGAGGCACTTGTCTGGTGTTTGGATTTCAGGTACTCACTTCAAAAGGAGGAAACATCACTGCACTGACAGTCAGTGGCTCTACAGATGCCTCCTTATGCTCCACTCCCACAGGACCAGCTCACTGCTGGGTTACAATATTACAGTATTACTGATTTAAAACTCAAACTTGATCATGTTTTTACCCAAGCTGATTGCTTTCCTGATTCGTTTTCTGCCTTGTTGATCTGTAGTTTCAGTAGTTTGCAGCATGTTAAGGTTTATGTGGAGTCCTTGGTGGCTGCAAGGCACAATTTAGGCCTTCAGGAGCTCGGTAGTTCTGCCTCAGGACGTGGTTCTGACCAGCAGGGTGAGCGCTGCCATTGCTCTCCATGCTCATGAGCTCCTTTCACCCTCCGTGCATGGTTGCCCTTACGTGTGTGGCTTCCCTGTATCACACAGATCAAATGGCTGAGAAACTTCAGCTAGGTGACTTTGGCCCTAAAGATGTCTGAGATTTAACTCTCCAACACTTACTGCTTCAGGGAGACCCACTCTGATGTCTGTGAAATGTGAGCAGCCTGTACTGGTGCTAGGCATGGGCACGTTCCCCTACAATCCAATCTGGAATCAGCACAAGAGTCCTTGTGATTCCCACAGGATCTTGGTCTATCAGTTCTGTGCAGTAGGTCCTTGCTAGAAAGCTGCATTTAGGCATCTGGGTCTTACTGTGCTCGTTCAGGTGCCTGAGGAAAATTCCTTGGGAAAACATTACCCTGCACCTTCAAGTAGAATATCAAAGAACAGGAGGAAGACTACCTTGACTCCTTGTCGCCAGGCACCTTGCTTTCACAGGTCTGCTGTGCTGCATGGTGACACCCCTTAGGCCGGGGACAGAGGTTATGAGACAGAGCCCTTTCCTGTGGGGGCTGTCCTTTGCTTCAGAATTGCGACTTCTGTGTGCAGAGCTGAAGTTTACAGCTGTAAAATCCCCACCAGCATGCATCCATGCTGAGGCAAGTGCAGAGGACCTTAAGCAGCATCCTGAAAGCTGAGTGGAATAATGTCCAAACATTCTGTAAACTTTCTTGCATAATTTGCTCAATCAGAATGAAGGGGCACACTGATGTAGAATGTGAGATTTAACTGAGGATCTCTGAATAGAATTATGAACCCAACTCCATGTTCCTGTATTTGGAAATTTCCATCAAAAAGTATCTAAATTAAGATCTATGTCTGTGTGTTGTGAAATGTATTGTCAGCTGGTAGGAATCTGGTTTGACCCAAGGGCTTTAAAAGCCTGCTTTTTTGCTTCATGTAGGAGTTTCCAACAGGTAAATGGTTGCATAAAGAGATTTTACACTAGGCATAAATTACATCAATTTTTTAGAAAACCATGCTGTTAAGAGACTGTAGAGATTTTTCAGGTATAATGGTCAGTATCTTTTTACAGCATTTGTTTCATTAGCAGTTTTGGAAAATTCCAGTATTGGAGAAATTTGGGAAACTATTTTTGCTGACACTGAAATAGAACTGAAAATGATGTTACTGTTCATATGACTGAATTCCTGCATAAGTATGACTGGAGGGTACAGACAGAAAATTAATATATGTGTTCAGATCCAAATCAGTGAAAATGAACCATCTCCCTCCTTCAGCTATACACCTTTGAAGGATGTGATCCAGAGTGTTTGAAATGCACTCCAGAACTGGGAAATACTGATTTGAGGAGAAGCTTTTACTGAGAGGACTTCCTAGAGCTGCAAAAAATAGAATCATATTGAAGATGTTACCTCCAAATGACTGCTTTTAATCTGGCCTTTTGAATACTATTAATGAAATTAAAGATTAGCTCATTCACTGGTATTTTCTTCTAAGATCTGAGTTGCAGGCTCATGCAGCCTGCAGTGAGAATTCTTCCTCATTTCTGTGGCTTTGGAAGGTCACAAGTGACATGAACTGCACAGTGATCCCTTTTTATTCACCAATGCGTACAAATTCCTGGGTTTTGTTCCTAACACTTTGCTGGAGTGTTGACTTGAGTGTCTGTCCCAAAACCTGTGTAGATGCACACAGAGCTGCTGGAGTGTTGACTTGAGTGTTTGTCCTAAAACCTGTGTAGATGCACACAGAGCTGCTGGAGTGTTGACTTGAGTGTCTGTCCCAATCTGGGCACACACTGCTGGTGTGGCAGTCGCGCTGGTGAGAGCCTGGCTGACACTCTGTCTTTGCCTGTTTCCCCAGGTTGTTGCGCTGTCGTCGTGGAGTCTCTTGAGAGATTCCATCTACTACACGCTGTCTGTTGTTGCACTCATCGTGGTAAGTTTCTGAAGGTTTTTCATCTGTGGGAGCCCATGTCTACTGCCACCTCTAAAGGGAACCTGCCATGGCGTGTAGCTGAGATCCCAGCTCGAGCACTCACGGGGATTTCTGCTTGTGGAAAACTGCTCGTGGGCTCCCTGGTTCTGCTGGGAAGCTTGGCCTGAGTGCAGGAGATGGAGGAATGTCTGGGGATCCCAGAGAGAAAGCTGGGACACGGCGTGGTGGCCCAGTGCAGACATGGGGAGCAGAGCTAAACCCGCATTCTGAGCCCCGGGCAGCCCTGCAGTGGGGGGGTCAGTGCTCTCCTGGCCTTCGTGACTTCCTGAAATACATATCACTACCCTGTGAGGGGGCAGCACTTGTGCCCAGAGGAGAGAGATCCTGAACAGCTACTACAAAACCTTCAGGTTAGTTTTCCACACATAATAGAGGCAGGTTCAGTGCATGCTGACAGCAAGTCCTCAAACAAAAACTAGACTTTCAGCAGTTCTTGGTGCTGTGCCTATCCCAATTTTCATCAGGCTCAGAAAATGCTCCAAATCTCTCAGAACTGGCCTATTCTGTGAAAAACTTTTGGCACAAGAGTTTAATAAAGACACTGCTGTCATTTTAACATTACCTTTGCAACCAATACCAAACAGTGCTAGGAAATGTAAAAATTGAATTTTCAGGTAGCAGTTGCATGTCTTTTTTCCCCCCCGCCAACCCTAGCATAGTACCCTAGATTCCCTAAGACAGGAAGAGTGATTTAGGGAAGTTAAGTTCCATATGTCAGCAAGAAGGGCTTAAGAGTCAGAAGAGGGTTGCTTGCAGTCTGGGTTACTTTGGTTAGTGTGTTTCAGCAGTGGGTTTTGGTTTGTTTCCTGCTGAACAAGTCCATGTTTCCAGATACACTCGGTACCTGCAAAGGCCTCTATCTGCCTTATCCCAAACAGGGGATCTTTCTCAACCTGTTTGTACTTTTATTCCCTGTACTGCAAGGCCAGCCATTTTGTACCTGGTGAAAAATAACTTTTCTACATAATTACTAGCAATGAGCTGCAAAACAAAAAGCCTTTTTTTTTTTTGTTTTGTTTTGACACCTTGACAGTAACCTCATTCCAAAACGTGTTGCTAAACAACAAAAAGAGCCTCACATAGTAATTGTAGTGAATTCCATTGCCCAAGCTTAAAGACATCCAGCAGGCATTCTCTTAGTTCACTCCACAGGAAGCACAGATGTGGGCATCTGCCTGGCATCTGGCCTCCTGGTGCTTGGATTGGACATTTCATTTATTGCATGGAGGCAGACAAGTTGAAAATCGTTTGATTCTGTCATCAGTTTTAAATTCTTTAAGCAAGGCGGGGTTTTTTCATGGCTGGTTCATCCCTGTGGTTGTCAGCTGCGTCAGGATGTGGAGAACAATTCTCTACTCTTTTGTGTCCCTGAAATTCCTATATACTATTTCAGTGTCATGAGAAAGTTGTATGGCTTGCAGAGCAGACATCTCTGTTACCCCTAAGACTTCTATACTTTATTTCTGTATAAGCTGTTCTTGGTAATTACAGAACTGAGAGTCCTTTTCTTTTGGGAGTGTACCCCATAATACCAGGACACGGTTATTTTTTCCCTAAGCTGTGAGTTAGCTTCTCTCCAGCTGTATGCCCACTCTTCTGCTCATCTTATCAGTGGTGGAGTTCAAGACCCTCCAGTCAGCCAGGGTAGCAGGGTGGTGACACTCCAGGCATCAGCAGAGGCTTGAAGGCATTGCCTGAATTTTTATTCCCGTGTTACAGCACTACCTGGCTAATTTGGCTAGGGAGAGGTGGAGCACATCCCAGGTCTTTCAGTGTTACTCCATAACAATCATTGCAAATGACTTAGATACCTATTAGGGAAAAGCAGAGAAAGATGGGAGGGAGGGAGGGAAAACGTTTTAAGTCTTTAAAGGTTTAGCTTCCTGCTAGCTGATGTACCAACCCTTTTGTATGCAATACTGCTCCCCAGTTGATAGTGCACAAGAATTTCTCCTTTTAGAGTCAAACTCTGCTTCCATTTAAGAAGTTTCTCCTTGCCTTCACTCACCCAGGAACCTCTGGCTTCCCAGTGTCTCTAATTTTTCCTTTCCTTTTAAGACAGAATCAAATGGAGGTGGCAGGACCTCAATTGTTCCTCAAATTCTGACTCTCTAGTCCCCCATAGGTTCAGGTGGGAGATGAGCTACAGGCTCTGTGCAGAGCACAGCATAACCTGCCTGTGGTTCCTCCTCCATCAGATTTGTGTGCTCCTTTTAGAAGATGCTTCAGTGCTTTGTGTGCAGGGATAATTTTTCCATATGAGGGCATTGAGACTTCTCTGCAGCTGGAATAGAGTCATCAATCTTGAAGAATTATATTGTTTGTAGAAGTTTGTTCTCATGGCATTTTAAACAATGGCCTGTGGTGCTGTGTTAAAAGTTGCACTCCACTGGTATCTTTACTAATCATAAATACACCTGAGGGGAAATAAATATATTCCTTCCGTTGCTGAGATACAGCAATTTAAAAAAGCTTGATACTGTGCTGGGTAAATCAATATGACTTTGTCTCTGTTTGCACTAGAAAAGGAAGTACAATGCTCTTGTAAGAAATAGAGCAGTATAGATTCACCTGTTTGCTGCTCCAGGCCATTTGATGAGAGAGAGTGAACTCTGAACCACAGAGGTTAGAAGTGGATATAAACCACATTTACTGTGCTTAATTCATCTTGATTTAGCCCTATGGTTTTTTAAAACTTTTTAATAATATTACAGTGCTACCTTGTCTTCTAGTAGAGTTTAGCAAAACTTACTCCTTAATCTGTTGGAAGGAAAAAGATGCCTGTGTGTCTTAACTTGAAGGGACATGGTCAGAGTCATTAGAGGCAAAATTGAGGTGGATGCTATTTTTAGACACAGAAGTCAGTGCACACGCTTTCACATCCCATCACACCAAACATTGTAACCCAAAACAGGCCTTGTCAGATTAGATCATGGTGACTGGGAACTGTAATTTACAACACCTTGCGGTCATGTTTTCTTCCAGTAACCAGCATAGCCCTTGCCTCGTGCCGGCTGTCACACAGGAGTTGCTATTTACGGCTGTATGGCCAAGGGGAAGTGTTCACTGTGCTCTCAGGGCCTCGTTCCTTTTCCCTCCTGTTTCCCTTCCTTTTCCCTCCTGTTTCCCTGGAGCACAGCCATGGATCTGTAATCCCTGGTGCGGGCATGCATTTCCCCGCTGATCCTTTGGAAGGGCCGAATAGACCGCAGCCTGTCACTGAGGCCACCAGGGCTGCATGCAATTCCAACTCCAGCCTCCTGTGGAGGCACCAGCACCGTGGGTCCCCTCTGCAGCCATCCCACTGCGGTGGGAGGAGAACTGGAGGCACGGGCAGTAGCAGGGCTGGTGGAGCACAGCAAGAGGAAGGGCCTGTCACGGAGCATGGAAGCTACTGCCCCTGTGAGCCTTCAGGCACTGACAGTGTGAGCCTTCAGCCACTGCTGGTGTAGGCCCTTCAGCCGCTGCCAGTGTAGGCCCTTCCCTCACCCCTTGCCATGGTGCTGCTGCTTCCTTCACAACCCGCACCATGGCGCTGGTTTTCCCTTGACGCCCCTCACCTAGGCACTGGTCCTTCCCTCACACACCTCAGCATGGTGCTTGTCCTTCCCTCACACCCTTCAGCACGGCGCTTGTCCTTCTCTCACACCCCTTCCCTCACAGCCCTCACCAACCCGCACCATGGCGCTGGTTTTCCCTTGACGCCCCTCACCTAGGCACTGGTCCTTCCCTCACACGCCTCAGCATGGTGCTTGTCCTTCCCTCACACCCTTCAGCACGGCGCTTGTCCTTCCTTCACGCACCTTCCCTCATACCCCTCACCATGGTGCTGGTCCTTCCCTCACACACCTTCTCTCACACTCCTCAGCATGGCGCTTGTCCTTCTCTCACACCCCTTCTCTCACACTCCTCAGCATGGCGCTTGTCTTTCCCTCACGCCCCTTCCCTCACAGCCCTCAGCATGGCGCTGGTCCTTCCCTCACACACCTTCCTTCACGCCCTTCACCATGCTGCTGGTCCTTCCCTCACACACCTTCTCTCACACCCCTCAGCATGGTGCTTGTCTTTCCCTCACGCCCCTTCCCTCACAGCCCTCAGCATGGCTGGTCCTTCCCTCAGGGAGAAGCACGTTCCTTGCCTGGGGAGCAGCGCAGCACTGTTGGGGAAGCCACAGTGCCTGTCCATCAGCAGGTGTGCCAAAGGGGCTGTCAGCAGCTACAGTCAGCTGGGGTGATGGTCACCCTCAGGTGATGGGAACAGCACCCTGGGCCCAGCAGGACTTGGCAGCAGCTGCAGAGCTTGCTGTGGATCTGCTGGCGGGTCACTCGGCGTCCAGCCGGGAGCAGCAGGGAGGAGGCCATGTCCGTGAGACAGCCACGTGGGTCGGAGTGGTGCAGCCCTGTCTCTGGCTCACCACTGCTTTCCCTCCAACCGCTGCACAAAGATCCAGTGGCATTTGGGAAAGGAGTACCTGCTAGCCTTGACTAAGTGAGAGAAACTAAGAGTTAAGAAGTTCAAAGGCTGGGCAGGAGGGCAGTGCCAAAATACACCCGAGCTTGATGCCATTGCCACGAGCCCTGGCTTGCTTTACTCTCTCCCCTGCCTCAGGTGATGTGCTGTTTTCAACTGTGGTTTTGTGTATAACGTGCTATTTTTAAATCTTTTCTCCACAGTTTATTTATGATGAAAGAGTTTCCTGGTAAGTGAATCCCTTTTCTTTTCATTTTTTCTGGTTATGCCACAAAAGCTGCCGTAATTAGTGTTTATGAGCAGGAGAAAGCTAAAAAGTTCTGCAGAGCACCTATTTGCTGCTGTGTGTTAAACGTCAGCACAAGACAGGCTAGAATAAGTAATTTTTTGAGCTAGAGAAGAAAGCCCAGGAGAATAAGACTGTTCCTGGTACAATGGCAGCAGTCAGTGCCCTCTGCATGCCCTGCAGCAGTCTGGGGATGACAGTGTGCTCAGCAGAGCTGTGGGTGTGCGAGAAGGAGCCACCTAAGCAGTCATAAATAAGTGTATAGTTGAATTTTTCATAATTTAGTGAATAGCCAGTTAAAAGAAATTTTAAAAAGATCCCTATTAATGTGCTAAAGAGCAGTGCAGTAGGTATGGTAGTTTAGGAGGGCTGCAGATACTTTTCAGTTGCTTTGGTCTCATGGTTTTGTTTCTGGCATATCCCAGAGGTGATGTGGTGACATCTGGAGGTGACTGTGGAGGTGACAGCGTTGGCTTTGTTGTCACTCCCAGCTGGTGTCATTTGGATTACAAGCACTAGGGAGCGTCAGCCTGCTTGGGCTGGTGTTTTCCCTCACTGGCTCTTGCCCATTTCAGAGGCAGGTTTCAAACACCCATTCTTCTCTCTGGCCTGGTTTTCTTTGTTGATTTTTGTGTGTTTTTTTTTAACTGAAATTCACTCGAAGGCCAGTTGTATTTAACTGTGGTCTTAATAAAAAAAAACAAAACACAACACAGAAGCTGAGTGTTGAATCTCAAGAAGCAGGGAATGAGACATTGATATAGTTAGTGCAATATCTCAAGATCCTTGTGGAGAAAATGTTCCATGAATTTAGCATACAGTAGTTTGATAATGGATGATTTCCACAGGGACTAGCGTTTGCTGTGGGGAACTAATCAGAATACTGCATTTTGGGTAGTGAAAAAGATCACCTAGAAACAAGCTCTGAAAGTCATACTGTAATTTGTTTTCATACAAATTTCATTATTCCATTAGTTTGAAACAGCAGAGGGGAAAAAACCTGTCAGTATCTAATCAGCAGTTTGAACTGCTGCCTGCTGCATTCTCAGCACTCATACAGCAGCAGTAGCGGCAGAGCAGCTGCCCCTTGCTCAGGTTGTCTCAGCACAATGCTCTACACTCCTGCAGGCAAAGCAGGGTGGCTGATCCCCTCCCTTGGCCACATCCTGTGGTTACTGTCCTTATGGAAATGTTGGTGGTTCTTTAGTGTGCCATTTGCTCGCTGAACTCCTGGGTTTTGTCACTTGTTCTTAGCTGACCGGTCAGTTTGGCCAAGTAAAAATCACAGAAGTCAAGAAAACAAAGAAGGATGTGTGAGCCGTTTCTTTGTGCATCCCTTTTTAATAGAGGAATGTTAAGGCAGCCCAGGAGGGTCAAGCCTTTCTGCACTCTTGTGGTGTGTCAGAAACACAGGGGAGTGGCTGAATAGGGGCCACTGATGCCATGCCCTGCTCTGATGTGTTTATGTGTTGCTCTTGTTTCCAGGTGGGAGTCCTTAGTCTTAGTGCTGATGTACATCATCTACATCTTCATAATGAAGTAAGTCAAATGTGCCCTCAGCTTATCTAAATTCTAAGGCTCCTTGCTCCCCTTGCCTCACCTAGCCCTTACTACAAGAAGAAGAAACAACCTTCAGTTCTGCCAGAGGAGGTTTAGCTTGGCTATTAGGGAAAATTTCTTCACCAAAAGTGTTGTCAGATGCAGGAACAGGCTGCCCAGGCCAGTGGTGGAATTGCTATCCCTGAAGGGGTTTAAAAGATGTGCACATATGGTGCTTAGGGACATGGCTTAGCGGTGGTATTGGCAGTGCTGAATTAACACGGGACTTGATGATTGTGGAGGTTTTTTCCAAGCTAAACTATCCTGTGAATCCGTGCTTTACGGATCTCGTCCTGTGTGAACTGACCAAGGCTAACAGCAGACGTGTCAGAGCAGAGACCTCGATCCATCCTCAAGTCCCACCAAAACAGTCTCTTCTGACTTCACTTTAGCATCTCTACTCAGAAATAAGCAGCAGTGAGATTCGAGTCCACTTTTCATGAGTGTGAAGCTCTGTGGCAGTTCCTGCTTGCCTGGAGATCCATGATAAAACTACAGCACAGTTGGCAGGGATTTTCTGAGCATCTGGCTTGTGTGACTTCTTCCACACAAGTTCTTGGTAGTAAAACTGGTCTGTTCTGCTGTTTTGTTCACCTCCTCCTGTCTTGTTTTCAAAAGCCAGTGCAAAGGAAACCCAGATTCAAACTGGAACATTCAACAAAACCTTCCAGCTGCCAAACACACCAGTGGTCTTGTCTCCACAAGTAAGACTAGAGATTTGTTTTGAAATGATGAACAGAGTAATATTGTGAGAGCAATTCTCAGTGAGAACAGCAAAACACTCAGACTGGCTAAAGGGAACACAAGTCAGAATTCTAATAATAATTAGAAATTTTGACATGGAGGGTAGCTTTTTACTCTTGGAACAATTAACTGACCAGCAAGACAGTTGTAATGTGTGCAGTTTGGTTTGTTTTTTTTTTTCCTAAAAACAACGTTGTAATGTGAACAGGCTTTTCATACTTGTTTGGATATAGCTTGAAAGGTTGTCAGCCTAGTTAGGGACCTCTGCCAGGTGTTTATAGGGTTCTGTCCTTGCCTCTGAGTGTCACGGGGAGAGCCTTGGCTCGTATTTGTGTCAGCTCCCAGATGCTCCAAGAAGCAAGGATTATTCCCCACCCCTGCCAAAGTTGAGATGAATTTAGCATAAGGTGTTGTGTTTCTGGGTTGAATCCTCCCAATAAAATAATGCTGATAATCAGGTGTGATTGTGTGATAAAAAAAATATACTTGGATGATGACAAGCAAAGGTTACTCATGATACAGAATATTCATCACACCTAACACATAAACATGCATTTCATTCAAGATCCATGGCTTCTATATTTCGTAGCCTTCTGGGTATAGAGAGACTGTGTGATGTACAATTTAGCTGGAGCTCTGGGAGCCTCCTTAAAACCAGAGGAGTTTACTTCCCTCCCTTAGCTGTATTGCAGAGGATACAAAGCTGGGAAAAGAAGACTGTCAGGAATTAAAGGTACATCCTGAGTTTTTTTCATTTATGCAGGTACAACTCAACCATACATCACTTCTTTGAGAGGAAGACAAAAAACTCTGCAAATATGGTGAATGGTTTAGCAAGTAACACAGAGATGGACGACAACAGCAACTGTGATGCCACAGTGGTGTTACTAAAGAAAGGTAACTGTTCCAGTAAGTCACCCTGTCGCTTGCATCATTCTGGGTGTTCTCTCCCTGCTGACACAGTGGGAACTGCTGCTCTCTTGTAATCCATGAAGCAGCAGGGGGCAGGACGTCCTTTTAAAACCCCTCTCCCAGATGGGGATCGCGGTGTGGTGATCCCAGCCACCACAGTCCATGCCACTGGAGGTGGCTGAGGCCTCTTGTGGCTGATTCTTGCTGCTGGGTAAGTTGCTTGGCTGCAAGGACTCCTTCAAGCCCGGGGGCTGCTTATCTAGCTTGTTACAGCCATTTTAATTCCTCCTGTGGGCGCTGTTACTCTGCACTGAAGTTGCCCATTTACAGCATGTCCAGTTAAATTTAACTCCACTCCAAAGGGACATGAACTGAGCAGGAAAAAAGGCCCTACTTAGACCAGTGTACGCTTACCCCCAGTGAAGGAAGGGTGGGAACTCTGTGTGGGTCTGGGTACTGTGCTCTTACTGCTGGCTTTACCATGCCCAACTTTTCCATGTAAGTGGTCTTTAAGGGTATTTCACTTTGGCTGAAATCTGTTCCAGTTTGACTTTAGTCATGATCACGTATAAAAATGGTTGTATTTCTTCAGCTTAAAAAAATTCCCCCATCCCATAGCTCAGCAGCAGTTGTTCAATGTCTGCATTTGCAGGGATGTCCTAAACTCTATTCACAGTGGATTTATTTTGTCTTTAGAACAGTCAACAAGCATGTGCAGCATCTGCTTGGGGTGGATATGTACCTGTTCTCAGGAATAATGCCTCCTGTTTTCCTGATGCACTGACTTAGCCTGAGAAGACGCTCCATCTCGTCAAAATCAGTCCTGTTCTCTGACCACAGATGGGCTGCCTCTTTTGTTTATCTAGTCTATCAAAAAACCCCAACCAACCAACCAACCAACCAACCAACCACAAATAGGTCTCTTTTCCTGCAAATGGGGCTTGAGAGGCATAGCCTGTATACAGTAAGCAGTTAAGCATGAAATGTAGTGGGGTTTATTTGCATCTGCAAATGAGTCTGACAGCTCTCAGTTACAGGCCTGTTGCAGAGGGAAGGTTGTCAGCAGTGCTGTGCAGTCTGATTTGGGGAAGCTGCTTTTTTGGGGACGGCTCTCTATTGCCTGGAGCTCTCCACAGCAGAACTATGGTGGCAATTCTGCACTAGGAGAGCTGGATTGGGAAAACTCAGTGAGCACAAGCTCAGGCCTTGCACATCCAACTTTACCCAGTGGTTTAGATGTTCCCACAATGGGTTTTTTGCATACTCTGCTGATAACTTTTTGATATGGACACTTGTGGTTACTCAGTCTGGCCAAGGAAGGAAGGAAGACGAAAGGGTTGCTTCATCTTCTTGTAGATTGTTCCTGTATTTCCTGGGGACTGGGCCACGGGAGGCCTGGGGAGGCAAGTGGTGCTGCTTTGTGTCCCAGCTGGGGGTTCAGGGCCACCAACAGCACCTTTTGCAATGGGGTACCTGGGGTTTTCAGACACTGTTTGTCTTCTGAGGCCTTTTCTGAAACCTTTTCTGAACAGAGGACCAAAAAGTCAGAAAGGTTTCTGTATTTGTCAGTTTTTCCAGGTGCCATTCAACAAGTGCCAGTGTGGAAAAACTTATAAGGAAAAGCTGTGTAGTTGTTTTTTGTTGTTGGTTTGCATTTTTATTTTTTTAGTATGGAGGAGCTCACATATCTACCCTATTCCATGGAAGCCTCAGTAGGCAAAAAAAGAAACATAAAGGCTGAGGAGATAGTCCTCTGTAAGACTAACATTGATGATTAAAAATGGTAATGCCACAAAACATTTGCCAGTGTTTAACACTGGTTTTAATAAACCTGTGCAGAAGTGTGTTGGATGAGGCCTCAGGTTTCCCTGCTGCCAAGTACCAGTCCTGGCACAGAATTCACAGCCCAAGGTGTCATCCAGGTGAAGGAAGGATGAACCCCAGAGGCAGTGGGCATTGGCACTGTGCTCCAGGCAGAGCACGATCCAGGGACCGGCCTCTGTCTCCCTGTCCCTTTGCTCCCACACTGTGGATTGCTCTGGCACATGCAGTTGCTGCTGGATTTGGTGGCAGATCCCAGCCATGAACTGCAAGCCCAGGGTGCAGGACATTCTTTTCATTTGTGTTGGTACCTTGCAGGAACACAGCAGTGAATGAGGACAATATCCTCACGGAAGTGCAGGTTGCAACTGGAAGTAACTGCCTTGGTGGGATAGCTGCTGTTGAAGCAGTGGTGTGCCTAGCACAGGCCTGTGATGAACTGTGCAGAGCAGATTTAGTTCTCTGTAGGGAGCATGAGTGGTCATACTGTGTTGACAATTTATTTAAAAACAGGAATGTAAGGTGTGTAGAAGGCAGAAATTAAGGACAGGTGAGGCCTATTTTGAATGGTGTAGCTGAAGGAATGGTTCTTACAGAGAACTTCTGAAGCCCATGGGTTCATTCTTCTTAGAGCCACATACAGCAGAGGGAGAGACTGCTGGAAAAAGGCCTCAATTTGTTTTTGTTCCTTGGCTGCAGGAAATTTCCACCGTAAAGCCTCAGTGATCATGGTTGATGAGCTGCTCTCTGCCTACCCACACCAGCTTTCATTTTCCGAGGCTGGGCTCCGGATCATGATAACCAGCCATTTCCCTCCCAAAACACGTCTCTCCATGGCCAGCCGCATGTTAATCAATGAGGTGTGTCTTTTATCTCCCCCACCTGCCCCTCTCCTCCTGAATTTGCATTTTCCTGTAGCACTGTTTAGCTTGAAATGCAACTCTGGTGTTTCTTCTGGATCCCTGATAGCGCTCTCCCAGATTTTATCCTTTTGGCACTGACTTCACTGATCATCCCTTGCTCTCTGTGCCCATGGAGATTTTAGCAGAGGTTGTTATGCAGTTGTGTTCCATGTAGCTGTTGCTCACAGGAGGTGCCTTCTGCATAGATCTGTTTGATAATATGGTACTACCCCGAGACTGCACTTAGCATGTCACTGGTCTTGGAGTACTTCTGGAGTCAATTCCACAGCCACTGGACCTTCTCTTGTAAAAGTTGTACATGTGAGATTTTTCTAGTGGTCTGCAAGCAAGCATCATGTTGTACCTGTTGAAAATCATTCTTTTTGCTTTTAAAGATAAATTTTTAAATAATTCTACGCACCTCTCTTTCTCTGTTCATCCCTTTTGCTTAAAAAAAACTCTCAAATTTTAAAAAGTCTTCTTTTTCAGCAAGGCTGCCTTTATTTACAGAGACAGAGGCTGATCAACAGCAGGACTTACACCAACGGTGAGTCAGAAGTAGCAATCAAAATACCCATCAAGCACGTGGTGGAGAACGGAACAGGCCCCAGCAACTCTGCTGAGCGTGGCGTGAACGGCACGCGGCGCGACGAGGACGTGGCCGAGGCCAGGAACGAGAACGAGAATGAGGACAACGAGAACAACGAAAACGACGAGGAAGAGGATGATGATGATGACGACGACGATGACCATGAAGGGCCATACACGCCTTTTGACCTCCCCAGTAAGAAGCTCCTGCGTTTGTGTGGTGTTCGTTTGGGTGTGCTGGAAAGCATTGCAGATGGATGTAGAGGTAGAAGTGTCTCTGAGAGCTTCCATCAGCTTTCACTTGGCAGTGAGGCTTGTGGCCACATGTAAAAGAAGTAGGGAACTGGGAAGTAGCAGGAACCTCTCAGGATGCAGACTCCTGGGGTTTGGCACACCTCTGCTGCAGCTCCTGTGTTGGCCCTGTGCTGCTGTTGCAGTAACAGGGGAGATGCAGCAATCTCCACAGGGTGGGTTCTGCCCCCAAAACATGGCTCAACCCCTGGAGAGAAGGATCTCTGCTCGCTGTGGAGGAAGCTGAGGGTGGCTGGGCTGCTGGCAAGGAGCCTGACTGAAGGTCAGAGTGAGGACCCACGTGTGCCTCAGGCTATTGAGCACTGCACCTGCAGGATGGAGATCTCCTTTTAGCCTAGTGCTTCTTACCACATCAGGGCTCTGGTCCTGGGATGATCATAATATATCCCTGTCCTGCCTTTGAGTCACAGTTGCCATAGCTGGCAAGATTTGCTGTGTTGCAGATAAGCTGGAATACTGTAGGGAGTGGTCCTGCCCTTTGCAGTCTAGATACAATTTTGGGAACTCCTGTTCAGGTCTCACTCAATTAGCATTTCTGTAGTTTGAGTGAGGAAAAGACCTCAGCCTTAAAGAGAGTAGTTTAGACATCCTATGGACTTTCATAGTATGTGAAAGGCTGGCACAAACCTCTGGAGATCTCTGGTTCCACCCTCTACTCAGAGCAGGTCCTCCTCCAAGCCTGTGTCCAGTTGAGTTTTATTATCTATGAGGATGGACATCCCACAGACTTCTGAGTACCTGTTCCAATGTTTGACCACCCCCGCCCCCCACTCCCCACTACTCTAGTAGGAAAAAAAGAGAAAATGCACAATTTAATGTACTATCTGTTCTGAATTTCCCTTATTGGAAGTTGAGTCCATTGGCTTTTGTAATTCCCTTGTGAAGGGCCTGCCTCCATATTTTCTGTACCCTCCCATTAGGTGATTGAAGGTGAATCAGATCTCTTTCTTGGACTTGCATTTTATATGGTTTTGTAAGAACTTGACTAGGGAGGAGGGGGAGCACATGTGGTCTGACCCGTTACTTAAACTCCCAGGGAGGCCCTTCATACTCCTGTCTCTGCCCTCCTATCTGCCATCACATCATTATCTTCTGAACAAGGATTGACATGTTGGCATAACAGGCTGAGGTGTCCCTGGCATCTTGTTTGCACATGCTAACAAAATAACAGCATTCTGAAATACAGCAGACGTGACTTGTGATTGTTTCCCTTTGTTTTGTTGTTTGGCAGCTGGCAAGATAGAAATGTTGAAGTGGGTCTTCACATGGCCCTTGAGTTTTGTCCTGTACTTCACAGTGCCCAACTGTAACAAACCCCACTTGGAAAAATGGTTCATGGTCACCTTTGCTTCTTCTACCCTGTGGATTGCAGCTTTTTCTTACATGATGGTGTGGATGGTACGTACCAACTAACCCAGAAACCACTGCCTGGGAGAAGCAGCAGGAGGGGGTTTGGAAGTCTAGAGAAATGCATAGGAAGTTCAACACACCTGAATCTTCAGGTGAGAAACCTTAGGTTTGCTTCTATTTCTTTTGGACCTGTCCACACTCAGAGAAGAAAATTAGGGGCCAGTAGCCATGGCCTTTGAGCTTGATTTAGGGCTGGCATTTCATCCAGATTCTTTACCTTGGGCAACAATTACACCTGCAGCAGTGGAACATCTCCTGGTCCTGCAGGGTAGTGTGAGGGGTGCTGAGTGACAACCTGGCCACAACAACTTTTCATTCTCTTGGAGCAAGCAAGCTCAAGAGACATGGAGTTGTGAATGACAACACTTTGAACTTAGCATGAACAATAGCATGACATTCAGTCAAATTCCTGCAGAACTAGAACCATAGGGTGGTTTTGTGTCTGCTTAGCTAGTATGTGTACATAACAATGTTTGCAAAATTCATCCAAGATCAGGAGACAGTTACCCAGGGTAGTGAGCACCATATAGTCTCTTTTCCAGATTAGTATCAGGAAAACTGTGGATGAAATGTATGGAACAACTAACCTGAGAGGGTACACAGCAGGTGAGTGCTACCCCCTGCCAGTTCATGAATATGCCAAAAAAGCCTGTCACTGCCTCTATTTAAAGGAAGTGTGAGTTTGAGCTGAGAGATACCCTCTGTCTCACAGCATCTTGCAGATTTGGGGCAAGTTGGTTTTGGGTCTTAATTCTTGTAAACAGCTTGACAGTTTATTTCATACTCTCCTTAGGTGACAATCATTGGGTACACACTGGGAATTCCAGACGTGATCATGGGCATCACTTTCTTGGCAGCAGGAACCAGCGTGCCAGACTGCATGGCCAGCCTTATCGTGGCCAGGCAAGGTGGGTCATTGCAGGGATGGCATCCTGCTGTGGAACTGTGTCCTGACATTCTCCTCTTCAGGTAGCACAGATGTTTCCTCAGCAGGAGAATATACAGAGCTCTTTCCACAAGCCTGGAATTTAAAACAAGAACAAAGAAGGAAATAAATTGTGCTGTTATTGCAAAGCAGTTAACAGGTTCTCAGCAGAAGTGTGGAACAAGTTCTGGCAGTATTGTCAACTTCAGGCCTTCCTCAATAATCACAGTAATTTTCTTAATTTGAATATCAGTGGTATAGAACTATTTAATGGCATAAGAATCTTTCAGGTCACCTTCCAGCTTTTCTTCACAGTCATAAAGACTGGAAGATACTGCTGTTTTTAAGGAAAGCAGCTTTCCCATATCTGTGGCCTGAGCAAGAGGTGTGTTAAGAGGAAAAACAAGTAGCCAGAAAAACAAGTAGCTTTGGGGAGCAAAACCAGTGGCTTGTCACTGAAATAAGCAGCTGCTGAAGAGAAGACTCAAAGACCTTTTGCAATTCATCCAGTACAGAAGCTCATGTGTCGTGGTCACAGCAAAGGGTCAAAAGTCCCCCTGAGCATGGCACCAGAGAACTGGCAGGTCACAGCCAGCACAGTGGGTTCCCTCAGCAGCAGAGGATTAGAGGAGGGGAATTCTCAGCCTGGAAGGTGGATTAAGCCCCTTTAAACCTGCTGGCCTTGTATGATGGGGGGCAAAGGGAAGGGAGGGAGTGAGGGGCATCTTCCATAAATCTTGGCCTTAATTGGGGGGAATTGCCTGGATGACTTCAGATTAAAGCTGCAGGACTTTTCCGAGACATGTCTGATTATATGTGCTTTCCATTCCTGCAGGTATGGGGGATATGGCCGTGTCCAACTCCATTGGAAGCAATGTTTTTGATATTTTAATTGGCCTGGGCCTTCCATGGGCTTTGCAGACCCTAGCAGTGAATTATGGATCATATGTAAGTCCTACATTTGTTCACATCATTGTTAGTTATTTATTACTCATTTATTTAATAAGCAAGATCTAGCTAGAAAAAAAGTCCAAAATTCTATGGATATTGTTTGAAAAAACAAGTAATTTTCTCTGTTACGATATGGGAGAAGTAGAAATTAATTGTCACTGGACATTTCTCATCCTTTTGAGGACAAGTACTTTCATTTCTTCCTTAAAGACAGAAGTCTGTGCTGAAGTAAGCTAGCTTAATAGAGTGCACTGGATTTTCATACTCCTGACTATATTCCAAGTAAGAATGATCCTGTTTTTAATAAGGCAGAGGGGGTAAACACACAGATGAAATGTAAAATGTAGATGAGATCTGTAGGGCTTTTGCTGAGAAAAATTCTGGCATTACTAAACTGTTAACACACTGCGAAGTGAAGGAAACTGTTAAATAATTGGATGTTTCAGAGTGTGACCATCAGCAGGAAACTCTGCAGAGCGTTCCTGTTAAAGACAAAACTACCAAACACCAATGAACTTATCCTCTACTTCCCAAGTGATAAAAGAGCCAACCTCTCCCCAGGGTTGCAAGATTCCTTCTGAGAAGTAAAAGCAGGAGATGCCACAGAGTTCTAGAAGGAAGTCACTGTGGCTATTGCTGTTACCTGGACACCACTCAGACAGCATGTAGGGCAGAGAGAAGACTGTTGATTACAGTCACTGAGTGAATGCAAAGTTAAAAGGCAGGAGAGTGACAGAACTGCTGAGCTTGACCCTTACCTCTGGAGATTGTCTAGTCCCCAGCCCTCTGCTCAAAGCTGGGTCAGCTAGAGCAGAATGTTTAGGACCGTGTCCTGTTGGGTGTTGAGTACCTCCAAGGATGGAGTCTGCACAGCAGACTCTCAGCAGTCTGCTTTGTTTTTTAACCACTCTCAACAGTCAGAAGCATTCTTACGTTATAGTGGGATTTCTGTATTTAAAATTGTGTGGTTCCTCTTGTCCTTTCAATGGATATCACTCAGAAGAGTCTGGCTGCACCTTCTCTGTGTTCTCCCATCAGGTATTTATGCACATGGCTAAGATCTCCCTGAATCTTCTCTTCTCTAGGCTGAACAGTCACAGCTCTTTCAGCCTCTCTGTATGTCAGATGCTGCCATCCCTTAAATCTTCCTTGTGGTCCTTCACTGGACTTGCTCCAAGAAGTCCATATCTCCCTTGTATTGAGGAGCCCAGAACTGGATCAAGCACTCCAGATGTGAGCAGAGAAGGATCATCTTCCTCTCCCTACTGGCAGCACTTCTCCTGATGTAGCCCAGGACCCTGTTGATTCTCCATGGCATAGGGGGGGTGCATTGTTGACTTCAGCTTGGTGTCCACCAGGATCAACAGGACTTTCTTGGCCAAGCTGCTTTCCAGATGGTCAGCCCCGTGCTGATATATGGAGTTATTCCTTCCCAAGTGCAGGACTTTTCATTTCCTTTTGTGGATATTAATGGGTTTGCTGCCTGCACATTTTTCCAGCCTGTCCAGCTCCCTTTGTACAGCAGCACAGTCCTCCAGAGCATGAGCCATCTTCCTTGGTTTTGTATGGGCTGTGAACTTGCTGAGCCTGCTCTCTCCCCATCATCCAGTTCATTAAAGAAGCAGTCCTGACCCCTGGGGTGAGGCCCTAGTGACTGGCCCCCAGCTGGGCTTGGAGCACAGTGCTTTGGCTGCTTATCAGGCCATTCCACTGTCCACTTTTCTAGGCTGTTCTTCCTCTGTTTGTCTCCGAGGATGTTTGAGAGAATGCCAGAATCCTTGCTAAAGTCAACATAAACAATGTCTGTTGTGCTCCCCTCACCCAGCAAGTCCCCCTCATCCTACAAGGCTGTCAGGCAGGGTGAGCGGGATTTCCCCTCCATAAATTAACGTGTCTCATCCTTTGTGTGTTTAGAAGTGGTTCCCATGATCATGTGCTCTGTCATCTTCCCAGGGATCAAGGACAGGCTGACCAGCCTTTAGTTTCTCAGATCTTCCCCCTTCTTGAACATAGGAGTGCCACAAGTGCTGTAGGAATAAAATCCCTTTCTTTAATGAGCAATTTATCTGTAGCTCATATATATATTTGTGAAAAAGGATGGAAACAAGTGGCTGAACAGAAGCAGCCAGCTTTCATGGAGGCATAACAGTATCACTACTGTTTTGCATACCCAAAATGTCCATTATACAGTGCGATCAGATGGTTAGAAAAGGCAGTCTTGGAAACTGCCCCACAATTAGCAGAAGAGTTTCCTCAGTTTTCACTTGCTGTTCCTGGATTTCTCTCCAAATTCTTGGGTAATTGGACTTTAAAACAAAGCAAGCCCCCTTTCCCCACCCTGTTATCAGTAATTAATTTCTGAAGTATTACTACGTTGCTAGCAAAGGCTGGCATTAACTGGGTCAGGTGCACCTTGGTGGCAGTTCCTAGAGCTCCAAGATGCTGGTTGTTATTCCAGGAGTGTGGCCGTTGTCCCTGGCACCCAGGTCAGAGGGGGCAGCAGATGGGGAGCTGCAGTTCCTGAGGTCTGTGAGGCTGAGCCTCGTGCTGCCTGCATGAGCAGGCCCTGCTAGCTGCACTGGGGCTGGTGGGCTCAGCCCAGCCTGGTTGTCCACTGAATATCACCGTGAGTCAAAAGTACTGGGTGATTTCTGAGCTAATAGTACAGGATTTAGTACTGCTCCTTTGGTGTTTGGCAGGACCCAAATGTGTGTCTGTAGTATCTCCTCCAACAGGGGATCTCCTCAAAGCAGTCTTTGTAGGTGGCTTCACGTGGAATCTGGACTTGTTTAAACAAGCTTGCTCCGTGGGATAGTGTCTGAGTGGGGAAGAGGCAGCTTTGTGGTCTAGCAGAATGAGTCAGGAAAACAGCAAGAGGGGGACCTGTCAGAGAGATGAATGGGCTTGCTGGAGTCACAGTAGGTGAATGTCAGAACTGGAAATAAGCTGGGAATCCCTGGAGACACGTCCTGGTGCTGGGTTGCTAAATCACGTTTTGATTGACTGTCTCTCTTCTGACTGCTGCTTCCCCTGCCCCATTGTCAGTTTATGCTTCAGCTTAGTGTTTTTTTTATTCTGCCTTCCTTATTACAAGAAGGGAGAGGAAAACCATCTTATGATTTTCAGGCTGCATCTTGGAAGCATCTGTCACCTGGTGTAGAGAAGGAGGTTTTCCTTCTGTATTCCTGCTTTAAATGAAACATCTTCCCCGAGGATGTGGGTACACTGCAAGTGCCTCACCCTTTGCCTTCAGCTCAAGTGTCAGTTCCAGAATTCATGGCTTTGACCAAGCCAACGACCCTTTTTCCATGAAAAGGCAGATCTATTCAGGATTAAACTTCCCACATCACATCCCTTCTGTTTTTACAATGCCAAGTCTTTAAGCCAACCATATGTTTATTATTTCAAAGGTCCTTGTTTCTGAACACTCATTAATGTTGAGGTACTAACTCTGCCTTCCTCTGCATCCCACTGGAGCTTCCATCTCCACTGCTCACTTGGCCACCCTCTTGCAGCGGCTCTCCCCTTCTGTTATGTACACAGCTAATCTGGCAGGCCAGCAGGCTTTTGGAGGAAAAGCAGCATCTGTCTGGACCTTGAGAGTCCTTTGACAGATTCACTCTATCCTCTCTTCCAGCACTGAGTTTTGGACGCGTTGCTGACTCTGTAATCCAGTAAGCATCCTTCCCCAGTGCACCTGGCATATGCAGAGTGGAAGGATGTTTGCTCCTTATCTTCTATCCAGTTGCTTTCCTCTGGAATATTTTTTTGCATGTAAACCAGACATCATCCAGCAGTATTTTAGAGAACAGGAATTTTAGCCTAAGGATAAAGAGCCAGGTTGATTTGATCACGTCAGCATTTGGGAGTATAATCGTGTCAGTCCAATTAGCTCCTTTGCCTGATAACTTCAGGCAGTATCAGCAAAATCTGACATTAGAAGTCTGAGAGACCTGATATGCCTTCCACACAAACAAGCAGCTTGAGACAGCAGAAATAATCCCAGTGCAATCATATTTAGGCATCAGAGGATCCAGAGGGAAGCAAATGCTTGCAAAGCACACATGGAGATGGGAAGCCTCACTGCTTTGCTCCTCACTGACCAGTTGATTTTCACTGGTTAGATTCCAAGGCACTGTTTGTTAGGACAAAGCTGGCTCCCTGGCTTTGTGGCAGAGAGATTATTGTGATGATTCTACTGTAGTAGAGCAAAGGTCTCCCTGCCAATCCTCCTAGCATTACAGGAGTTCTCTCCAGCTATAGCTCCTGCATCTCCTGCATGATACTCTTGAGTGGCCATGTGCAGCATTCCAGGTATGTACCCTCTGCAAAATGAAGAGCAAAACTTCTTGGGAGTCTAAAAACAGGTTTAAGAAGGAAATTCCATTTAAACATGCAGCAATGCATCAATGTTTGAAGTTCCAGTTTGCTTAGATCACTGTCTCATGGCAAGACCTCAGGAATGCAGGATTTAGACTGAATTTCCACTGCCAGGCAGAGACACTGAAGGAGAAGGATACCCAGACATACAGAAGACCTGCAGCTTTTTCAGCTGAGGGACTGGAAACAAAGCGTAGCCCTTCTGAAATTCCTTTCTGGGGTAGTTTCTGTCATATTAAGGCCCTGAAGCAAAACCAGTGTGGGTTTTGGCAATAGCTTCTTGTTTTCCCTTAAGCAGCTGCCAGAAAAGAACTTAAGAATAGAATAACTTTTATTTCCATTGTTTTTCCTCTGCTGTTTGGCTTCAGCCTTGGTTACCACAGCAGCATGGGAATGGCTGGAGCTGGTGGCAGCCTCTTTGCATTTGCTGCACAAGCAGCAGGGAGGTGGCCTCCCTCAAACTCTGACAGAGGAGGCTGTGAATGTGCAAACCTTCTGTGCATGATCAGCCAGAACAGCATTCTTCTGCCTTGCTTCAGCCCCTACACACAAGCCAGTCCTCAAAGGGGAGTTTGGGAATGTTGATTTTTCCTCCTTGCAGTATGAGGGAGTGCTTCTCCTGCAGCCCGTTTTCTCTTGGGGAAGAGGCATTTCCTATTCTTAAATGAACAGGGGACTGGACTATTCCTTATACAATTAAAAGGACTCCAGCTGGGACTCTTTTGCCAAAACCTGAAATTATCTCCTCTCTTACTGTGAGTTTTGAATGTTTTGCTGCCCTTGTTTTCCCTGAACTTGCACATTTTCATATATCCCAAGGAAATGCCACTCATCTCATGAGAGGGCTTGACTATTTCTGGCCTAATTTGACAGATCAAGGACACATTTTTCTTAAGCTTTTGTTTAAAATTTCAGAATCTTCTGGGCTTCTGTGCTCTTAGTTAAAAGTCATGATAAGAAATGGGGTAGGCTGGTGATTACCATAGGAGTGGAATCAGTTAAGTCTGTATTTCCAGAGCTGTAGACTCATGGGAAATTTGCGAAACAGCAGCGGGTAGTCCAAAGTCAAATTCAGGAAAAGAAAGGGTTTGTCAGGAAGCTCATTTGGCTGAACTAGAGACACATTACAGCTGGAATTTCTGGAAGGAAAAGTCCAACTGTTTGAGTAAAAAAATATAATGGTGAGCTCAAAGTACTGGAAAAGGTGTGAAGAACTCCAGATGTTTCTGCTGATGCTCAGGAGGTGATGTATGTGTGGCACCTCCCTGCCATGGAGCAGGTAGGAAAGGGACAGAGAAGGACAGAAACCACATGTGAAAAGGGCTATAAAACAACTGAGAAGCAAATAGGAAATAACAGAAGGACAGTTGGAGCAAGTGGACATTGATGTAAGCCTGTTCCCAAAGCACATTTGCCCTGGGATGACTGGGAGATGGATTCCATAGAGGGATGGCTGGTGTAATTCCAAATGAACTGGACTTGCAGTGCTGTGGGGTTACCCTGTGCACACCAGAATTCCTGTGGATTTGGCTTGCAGGGATCACTGCAGGGCTTGGGCAGGGCCCCCATGAGACATAGCTCACCTGCACACGGGGGGAGTGGGAGCATCCTTCAGGTAAACAGGGAAGTACAGGGAGAGGAGCAAGGCCTGCATGAACCGTGGGGATTCCTCCTCGTTTGGGTTTCACTCTCTCAAAACCCTTCAGCAGCACTGTACAAAAACCACCCATGGTTCTGTAGGCTCACTTCCTGAAGTAGATAGATGCCTGTTAAAAAAATGGGGCAGGGCTGCCAGGAAAGTTCTTGTTATTTCGGTTAATTAACAGCTCTCTGCTTTGCCCAGCAGTGGGAGCTGGGCTAGATACCAGGCCAGGAATGTGGCTGGTTAAACCCAAGCTGAGAACTGTTAACCTGGAGTGAAATTTTCCCTGTGAGGGTAACCTGGTGCTCACGCTGCAGGAGGAGTTGCCACATTTGCTTGGCCCACACAGGAACAGCATGGTGTGTCTGTAGCTCTTACATTGGTAAAGCTGCTGTAAATAATTAGCATACATTTTCTGCTTTTGAATTATCCCTAATAGCATCTTTTATTCCCCTAAATGACCTCCAAGGAGGAGCTTGCAGATAGTCTGAAGAAAGCAGCACCAAACATCTCTTTTTCAAAGCACTCTCCTCAGCAAATTAGACACAGAGGCCTTTGGAATGCTCTGCTGGTTTTATGGAGCATGAAGTTATAACTGGGAAGCAGCGTTAAGGTTAAATTTTTGCACTTTAGGTTAAATTCAGACATTTTCCATGGTAAAATAATTCCATCTTCTTTTGCTTCCTTTTCCTGTAGATCCCTTTCCAATTGATATATTTTATACCGACAATTTTTAAAAAATATTTGCACTAGTCAAACAAAATTCCTGACCAAAATCCAGACAGGAATTTATTGTAAAATATTATCTCATTGCTAGCCAGCTGCTGTTCATTTGGGATATAGCAGGGAAGGAGGATTTAAATGTGTGTTTTACTTTTAGTACACAGAGTTAGTGTAGGGCTTTTTTGAACTTTATAATAATGGAAATGCAGGTTAACTGTTACTTGTGGGCCATTCTGATGGGTGGAAGCAGGAGAGGGGGAGTGGATGCACAGGAATGACTGAAGCCAAGTGGGCTGGTCCATCTCTGAAGCTTACATTAGTAGTGGGATCGTGACATTTTTCATCTTCAGTTATGCAGACAGTCCCAAAATCAGTCTTCATGCCCTGAAGCAATCCAAATCCTCCATTTCTATGAGCAGTCTGATGAGAATATTGTATTTAAGATGTAATGGCCATAGAACTGTAATGGTCCTGCTGTCCATCCATACCCTTACAGCACATTCCTCCTAAATAAATCCTCCGGTACCTTTCAGACTAAATGATCATCGTGGTTGTAGCCTTTTTTATGGTGTCAGCAATCAGTAGGGAAGGAAAGTGTGCTGTTTGTGTGAGCTGGTATTTAACACGTGTAAAGGGAACAGCACAGCTCGGGCAGCATGGATTGGCTTAGAGGATGCTGGGTGTGCAGAGAGCAGTGCAGGCTGAGCGTTCCCAAGTGTCAGGACTGATCACCCTTTCTGACTCTGCAGGTCAGACTCTCCCCTCAGTGGTCCCTGGGGAGTGAATCTAAATCATTACTCTAGATTTCGGAGCAATAGTGGGGTGAAAAGGATTTCCTGGCTGTGGTGCACAATGATGCAAGTGTATCTGTATTCCTGCATTCTCAAAATTGTGGTGCTGCTTGACACATTAGCTATACCCACTTCACTTGCAAATGGGGTTCTTTATCATCTAACTAGAAGGATGGGAGAACTGAGAAGCCAGCCTTTCCTAGAAGGATGTCCTCTCCACATAGTAGCTCCTGGAGCAGTGTCTTGAGAGGCTCCACTGAGTGCTGCCCTGATGATGCTGCAGGTGATGCTGTCTGAGGTCATAAAAAAATGCCCAAAAGGATAATGATTAAGTTCCCCAAGGGAAGGATGGGAAACCAAGGAGAAGTGTGATCCTAGCTGAGGAGCAGGATTGGAGAGATGGCTTTATTCCCTGTAGCCTTCCTTTGTAACATCAGGTTTATGTCTCACAAAAATCACATTTTAAAAAGTATTTGGGCCTTAAAGATGCAGGTGACTTCCTTAGGTTAGGCTCAAAGCCTCTAAAAGTGACAGTTTAATGGCTTCCCAGCTTTGTGGACCTGCATCTCAGTTCTTCTCTTGGACAGTGACTGTAACTGGGGCTGTGCCACGAAGACAGCTTGCACCAGAGCCTGTGATGTGCCCTGCAGGCAGTAAGTTGTCTCCTTGTCTGCTCTGCCTCAGTGCTAAGTCATGTCCAGCCTATGTTAGTGTGCCATGATGCATTGATACAGACAATTTTTCAGCACCTGAGGCTCTGGTTTTGAGATTACTGACTTGTTCCCTTCACCAAGAGGAGTAAGGTTAGGGAAGAAATAAGGTGAGAGTGGGGAAGAAATCAGGCACTTGTGTGTGTCCTTGTCTATTTTCCCCCACTGTGAAGCACTAATTGGTGACTGAATGCAAAATTTCCTTTCCCCTGTTTGTTCTTACAGGACTCATACAGGAGTTAGAAAATGTCATGATATAATAGTACAAGGGATGCCAAAGCTCACATGGAAGTGGAACACTGTGAAATGTTGTCAGGTCCTAAGGATGCTCCTCTGACAACACTCCTTTGGCAAAATAGGGAGTAGGCAAAGTTACCTGCCATGTAATGGTCTGACTTGGCATTTACACCTTGCAAGCCACTGTTTAGCAGCTCAGCAGTTTTGGATTATGGAAATATAAGCAGAGAGGAATGTTGTTTGAAATTGTGAGATGGTTTGATGAACTTCCTTCTTTTGCAGATTCGGTTAAACAGCAGAGGACTTATATATTCTGTTGGTCTCCTGCTGGCATCAGTTTTTGTCACAGTATGTATATAGTCTTTTGTTCTTCTTTTCCAAAAGAGGGATTTTTACAGGCATTTTCTTCACCTGCTCCTTTCTCACCTCCAGCTGGAATAGTGCTTGAAAAGTCTGTTGTTATGGGGTAGGGGTGCTCCCTGCTTGAAAAGCTTCCCAAGGCCTTGATTCAGCCCTTTGCAGGAGCTGTCACTCCCATGGGATGACACTCCTGCCTGTGTGTTTTCTGTGGGAGGAGCCTGGGAGAGCTATTAGTAATTATTTGGAATTTCTATGCTAGAGCTAGGTCCCTTGATGCATGATGAGATCCATTGTCCTGTGAGACAAGCAGACGAAATGCTGAGCAGGTTGCTTGGCCCTCTCTGGGATCCTTCTGAAATACAGCACAGTCCAGAAAAAACAGTGCCTGGCAATGCTTCTGTTGAAATCAGTACTTGGTGTTCCCTGACCTTACCCAGAAATGATAGAAGTGGAATGATGTGACATCTTCCAAATCTTGAGGTGGGAGGGGCATCCTGTGCAATGCACACCAACACAGTTCCCACGTACACAAGATGTTAATCTTTGGTGGGAGCAAACTGTGCAGTCTTAGACTGTGTGGCTCTAGATTGGGATGCATAGGAACACATGAAGCATTTTGAGTTAAAAAAAATAAAGGAACCTGGCCTTTAAATCCATTTCTGATTAAATTAAATGGGATTGTTCTTGCCAAAATTAAATTCAGTGCAGAAACCTAAGGTAAGGTGATGTAAGTCAGGGTGGCTTTTGTGACTGCTGCTCTGCTTTACTTGAGCTATGGTTTTCAGCTCACTTGGTGCAGTTTGTGATTGCTTCCAACTCACCATCATCAGTAAGGGGACAGCCCCTCCTGTAGCTGAGGAGGGGATTTACCACTGTATTCAAAATGTTCCTGCTGTGGTGGCTTACTCTGTGTTTATTGTAGGTTTTTGGTGTCCACCTGAACAAATGGAAACTGGATAAGAAGCTAGGGTGTGTGTGCCTTTCCCTTTACGGCATCTTCCTGTGTTTCTCCATCATGACAGAATTCAATGTTTTCACGTTTGTGAACTTGCCAATGTGCAGAGATCACTAACCCAGGTGGCAGACTGTCGGGAGGAGCTTCCTTTTTACCTGTGCAATACAAGCCACGGCTGGCATTTCCTGGATGCAGTGCACCTCCAAGTCGTGACCTATATCCTGTCACTGTTCATAGGACCCGTGGCCCCGTCTAGGTTTGCCCTCTCCCTGGCCCCCACAACCTGGAACAATCCTTCATCGATGTGAAGAGCTTTTTTTTCAACATCCATGTGATTTCCTTGCTCAGTTTTTGAACAGTGTGACTGAGACTAAAGATGAACTGGCTGCTAACTGGCGTTAAGCCAGTCAAAACTGGTCTGCTACAATTCCTTCTTTTTTTAAGTTATTTGATGGAAGACTAATTAATTTATGACTTAAGACTATTGCTACAATGCAGGAGAGGGTACGTCATATGGAGGCTGACTTCCAAGGAGAATCATGGGAGTTTTTTTTCGGTTGTGGGGAGTGTTTTTTGTTTGTTTTTAGCTTTTAGTTTCGGGTTTGCAGGTCTTTTTGTTTGTTTGGGGGTGGGGGTGTTGCTTTTGTTCTTTTTTTTTTTACTTGCCAGAGATCAAAGTCCTCTCTTGCGTCTTCTCCTGAGTGCTGGGTCTCCTGTAGTAATCCAAAGGCCACAGGGCAGTGTAAAATGGAAATGCAATTCAAGGTACTCAGCATAAGAATGGATAAAAGAAGATTGTCAAGGAAAAAACTGATTGACTTCTTACTATAAATAGTTGACCTTGTACAGGTTTGTTAAAGAATGCAAGCTAAATGTGGATTCAAAGGGTAAACACTGCTACCATTTTACTATGAATGTTGGAGTTTTATTACTAGGGTGTTTGTTATTTCCAAGCAATAGTTTGATTGCCAGCCCAGAAGGGCTACCAAGGAGGTGTCCTGGTTTTTAATGGTCTGCACATGGAAATGGAAGGTCAGAACTTTCTCTGCTTCATCAGATTTCTTGTTTTGGGGGGATTCAATAGTTCATGTCTTATTTGTTCTGAAAAGGACATAAGTACATGTGAAAACTTTTCTAAATGAGTTACAGACACTGGTTTCTTTAAGAGGAAAGAGGCATATTTTGCACAGATATAGTTACTGAAGTCATAATTTGCCATTCTTTAAAGAATACACTGGACCTGGCCAGATATTTTTCATCTTAAGCAGTTGAACTTATCTGATAACAGATCATGTGGATTCATCACCTCTCCTTTTGGGAGGGAGGAGGACACAGACAGAGATGGCACATTTTAAAATGTGGAATATCTTCAATGCAGACTCGCTCACAGATCTTAAGTTATTGTGAAAGTTTAGCTATTCATTGTTCCAATATCCCTGCTAGATTTTGTATAATTCTGTATTAATATGCAGGCAGATTCCACCCCTGATAAACACCATCACTGCTTCATTTGTATGTATTGATGCTGTGCGTTCTTGCCACTGTGGCTCTTGTATTTACTTTAAGCACTGATCACTTCTGATCCTCTTGTATATGTTCTGCTATGAAATGTATTAAGAGACTACCAGCTAGGTGAATGTTTTTGTCTATGGTACAAACAGTGGCAAATAATAGTAAAGGTACAGGAAGCCCTACATAACAGAAAGAAAGGAAAAAACCTGAAACACCGAACCTAAACTATAGCAGGAAAAGAAAAGCGCTCCAGTTTGGAAGAAAAAAGAAGAGAGCCACGTTGTGTTCACAGATGAAAAGCCAATTTTTTTTTTTCACTTGCACTTTTGGAATCGATTTTTTCAGTCTGATTTTCTTTGAGCAAAATGTTGTAAAAGAAAATATTTGCACCCTGTGGTTTCCCTTCAGCTCAGCAGCCGGTTTTCTTTGTTTCTGACACCAAACACGTGGAGGCACTGGCAGCTCTTGCACTGTGCGTGGCAGCGAAGTCCTGTGGAAAAAGCGTCGTCCCACTGGCCTCACTCGGGGAACTACGTGTGCAGGTGGATCCCTGGCAAGAAGAAGAAGAAGAAGGGGTCCAGGGACAGAGAGCAGAGAGTGGATGACATGCCTGCATCTCCAGTTTTCATCCTGGAAAGCAATTGTGTTGCTGCTTGTTGAGCTCTGCAGCTGAGGTTTGAGCAGCCTTCTCATACCTGTGCCCGCGGGACATCCTCTTGCGTTAGGAAGCCCACTGTACCTTCCTGTTGCTGGGTTTTTGTTTCTTTTGTTGTTGTTGTTAATGAGATTAATAATAATAATAGCAACTGTTAAAATGCCTAAAATACTTCTGTAAGTCAAATGATGTTTGCAACGATGTGGCACGGGTCACTAAAGCCACCCCACAAACACGCAGCTTCACTTCCTAGCGAGATGCAGTTGCTCCTAAGCAGAGTGTGTCCTTGCTGATAAGGGGAAGGAAAAAAAAAAGAAGTTTCATATCAGGGCCTATTATTTCTTCTATTTTGAATATTTATACTGCTGCTCCAATGGAGCCAGTTGGATCTATTTCTGCGAAATAGCCATTACCTATCCCGTGGCACAAAAACTACACACGTATTTCTTAGGAACTTTTCCTACTGGTGTGCGTTAAATACTGTAGTAATTGTAGTTTTGTGTTGTGTGTAAAACCTGAAATACCTTGCTTTGATACTTGTGTGTGTTTCCAGAATGTTCTGCAAGCAGCTTGTTCTAAGCAGAAGCAAAAGGTACCTTGAACTGCCGTTACCTGTGCCGTAGATGGCTCGATAAGCACGTCCTAAAGCGGTGCTTTCTGCCAGATGTGCTGATGGTTTGCAGCAAAATCTTCAGGTGCAGGCCTGGTTTGGGACAGAGCAGACCGACTGTGCCAGGGGAGAGCGTGCCTCTCATTCCTGTTAGCACAGTCACAGCCTGTGTAGAAGAGCAAAAAACCAGCAATTTTTGGCATCCTTCCTGTACGCTGTCTCCAAAAGTGGCATGGACAGTTCTGTTCCAATGCAGGGCATACTCAGAGCTTTACTGGGCCTTGCAGAGGACTGAGTTCTCTCCTCCCAGGGGGGTTCTCCCCCGCCAAGGTCAGACTCTGGAGGACAGCCAGTGCCTGGCTTCATTGTCCCCTTGGGAGGCTCTGCTTTGCCCATGGATGCGTGAGCTGCGAGCTGTCACCGGAGGCAGGGCCTCAGGACAGCCACTGTGGTTGGAAAGGGAGCTCTGAGGCTCAGGGTTGGGGGCCTGCAGGGAGCCACCAGGGAAGCTGGGTTCTGTTGGGTATTTTTAGCATGATTGTGATTCATTTGCAGTTTTCATCTTCTGAAAGCAAGGGTCACCTTCGCGTCCGAGGCTGCTCTGGTTCTTGGACCAGTCAATTGTTTTTGTTTCCATTCCTAGCAATTTCAGATGATCTTCAGTGAGTATTTCAAAGGGAGATTAAAGAGCCTTTTTCTCCATGGAGAGGCTTCACTGCAGTTCTTACTTTGACTTAAATATGTGACCCTTGGCTGGCTTCAGATCTGCTTGACATGGATGGCCTTCCTTTGACATTGGTTCAAAGGGAGAATGACAGGAGAGGGTATGATAAGAGATGGTCTTAAGACATGCTGGGAAAACTGCTTTTGTCCCTACCAAAGTTGAACTTTTTACTTGCCTTTTCCCCCCCCCCTTTTTTTTTAATTTTTCTTTTTCATGTGCTGCGCTTTTTAATAGACCTTTTCTGTGATAGGAACACCAATATGAAATGTGTGCATGGGAGATTTTCACTTGCATAATTTGTTGGTTTTGCTGTGATGCCACATGCATGTTTAGTTTCCAGATCTCCGTCCTCAGCTGTGTCACTGAAATCAATTTATTAGCTTTGGATTTGTGATGGTGGTGCTTGTGGAGAACGAGGTGCAGGACTGGTTTTTTTTCTTGACAAAACAAATCAGGTAGAACAGCAGTTATATTTTAGAAAAAACAACGTTCAAGGCAGGTGGAGTAACCTGAAGGTAACTTTTAATACCCTGCTGCCAGAACAGGGATTTTTATGTCTTTTTCAATTGATACTTGTGAGATAAAATGTACATTCAGTATTGTTGAATAACTTTTTAGAAAACCATAGCTTTCTGCTGACTGACAAATATTTCTTATATTAAGATTTTTTGGAAACCCTAATCCTTTCAATTAAAATTCACGGAGATGCAATAGTGCGAGGTTTGTCACTTTCAAAGTTACACCACTGGAGCTTTAAACTTGTTTAAAAATATATTTTAAAAATCAATCTCAGTGGACCATGCTTACCTGAATTTAATTCTGCTTTGTACTTTCAAAGTTTCGCTTGATCAGCAGCCACTGCAAGTTAGTCTAAAAGAGACTTACATCCTGGTAGGAATGTCCCTTTTAGATTGGTACAACTTTAACTGAATCAGTTTAAAGCCATGGTTTTAAGGAAAGCAGTGGAAGTTTGAATATTTGAAAGACCTCAGCCACTTCAGATTTAAGGAGCTGCAGAGTCTGAGTGTGCTGAATGCATGTACCAAGCAGTATGCAAGGCTTAGTTTCAGGAACAGACTTTTCAGTATTCAGGGACTTGAGTGAAATCTGACCTTTGTGAAATCAGGGGCAGAACCCCTGTGAGTGTTGTAGGGTCAGTGATGTATTTGTAGCAGTGAGTCCTGGAAGGGATGGGGACACTGCGTTTTTTTGGGTGAGTGGCCTTTTTATTTTCTTACCTGAATAGATAAATGACTATTAGTTAATAAAACCAAGCACCTTTAAGGGAATTTACATGAATACTCTGTTACCACTTAGTGGCCTCAAATCTGAAGCACAGTTCCAAAAAGCATCTACTTCTGCCCAAACTGCTTGCACTTGTCTGGCTGAATCTGCAGAATCAAGCTCCAGCGAGGACTTGATCCCTGCCTTTGGGAGAAGTTCACTTTATTCTGGGAAAGCAATAGGGTAAGAAATGGCAGTCTGTTTTGTTGTGCCCTGGGGATGTAAATTGGCTATGAAATCGATTGTTTGCTGGCCTGAAACAGTCTGACATCTAGGCCAAGTTATCCAAGTTTGGGTAGAAGCACCTAATTTCAGGAAGGCTTCAAAAAAAGCAGATTGTTTTAAGCAACACATTTTTAAACGTATTTATGTAGCCAAAATTACTTTATTGTGGTATTTTTTAGATAGGTTTCTGTTTTTCTAATAGATTTGCAGAACAAGTTTGAAACCCCCCACACCAGAACAACCTGACAGAAATCTTGTCAGTGTAATCTGTCTCTGCCAGGTAGGATTTGAATGGTGCTAAAAGTCAACGTGATAATTTTACAGCAGCAATTCAATGT